TCATTATAACGCGAATTTTTTTACGTCAATATTATCATTAACTAAAGTAAGCATTGCATTACCGTCTGCAGCTGCACCTGGTTTAACTATACCAAGATTATTCCAAGCTGCAGTAAGGGAAACTCTTGTAGCGTCTGCGTTAGCATCTGTAGCTGGTGAGGCTATACCTAGAGCAGCGGCATTAGCATTAAGAAAATTTCTCACATTAGCAGCGCTTGCAGCGGCATCAGCTCCAGGTAATATAACACTTCTTCTGAAAAGTTCGGTTGATTCAGCTATACCCCGTCCAGTATCTTTAAACCACATCATGTTCGTTGCAGTTGATCTGGAGTAATCATCGGAAAACGAAATAATATTCAAATTGTATTTGCAACTTGTAGATGACTTGAAATATATTCTATAGTTTGATTAGTCAGTTGATATCTAGCACCTTTGAATAAACACCAGCCGTTATTTATATGAGATACTTCTAATCCAGCTGCAATTTCAGCAGGTGGATTGGCTACTGTCATAATCTGACCGCGAACTTCTAACATAGCCTTATGTGACAGTAGAAATACCTGCTCGTCTCTGGTATTAAATGTTCTAATACAAGCGTTATTTGGTTCATTAGAATTTTTATCCAGATACTCAACATACTCAAATTATGTTACAGTGTCATCGATTTTGTAGGGTTCTGTTAAATCAAGATAATTTTTAATAGACCTTTTTATTTATTAGATTATATAGATTTTTATTGCGGCACTATTACTTTAGATATTAATTTTTGTATGATTTGCTCGCCTTTTGGTGATACGAGTTTTTCGTTGAATTTCTTTCGTTGGAGAGATTTCTGAGATAGCTTGTTTTATCTCAGATGCAGTCGGCAGTACACGTTGTTGATCTCCTTTTATTTTATCAGCTTTTTTTTTGTCCCACTGCAGCCTCAACTGCAGATGCGGCTCCAGTTGCAAAAGCTTTACCTGCGTCAACAGCAATTGGTGCAACTTTACGTGCTATACCCTGAACATCTTCAATAACTTTAGTGAATAAATTAAAAAAATCCTCCTACTATTTTTCTTCGATATTTTTTTTTTTCTGTTTCATAATATCTGATGTATAATTTTTATTGTTAAATCTTTTAGAAAATATGTTTACTGTTCGCGTATGTGCAGGTAATATGTTGTTGTTGTTGTTGTTGTGGGGTTTAACGCCATTTTTCAGCACAGGAAAGGCTATACATGGCGGATTAATGGTGGAGGAAGAAACCGGGAAATCACCGGAAAGAACCACCGACCCACGAGAAGCTACTGGCAAGCTCTATCACATATCCACATTCGCCGAATCTTAGACTCGAACCCACGCAGATAGAGGTGAGATGGCAGTGTGGTCTAAAGCGCTGTCCGTTACAGGTAATATGTAACAACTTCATTATTTAAACTGTTTTCCAGACTGATCTGTCAACTGCTTTATTGATATTTGATTTTCAACACTTAAAGGATAATAAATAATATGACAAGAAGTAATTTGCATGAGAGAACCTGGTGAAACTTTTGGCGAGAAACTAAATAGTTTGACCCTTGCTACCTTTCGATGTGTAAGAGCCAGAAGCAATTTACTAATATTGTATTTACTTCTGTTATATTTACATATTTTTCAGTGTTATCCTAGCTCGTAACATGTTTTAATTTGCTGCCAACTCGAAATAATCAGCCATACCGCCAGCTTTTGTTAAGAGCTCTTTTATTGTCTTGTTTACGTAAGTAATATTAGAAGCACCCTGTGGAATTTTTAATCTTTTTGTTGTAAATATTGGTGTCGTAACCGGAGTTAATGAAATTTCATCATTGACATCAGTTTTCACGTTAGCCATAACATTTCAACAAGTATAAGAAATTAATCCAATCTCATCTTGTTTTGCAGCATCTAGTTGTATTGGCGGAATATAATTTACTGAAAAATTTGTGCTATTTTCTATCATTTGACTCGAGTCGAATAATAGTGTTGTTGACATATTTTTAATATGAAATCATTTTACAAAATTAAATCGCGGTGTAAAGTTTCATATTCGTCAGATGTTAGTAATCCGCTCGATCTTAGATGACCAAGTATCTCAATGATTTCATTATCAAGTTCAACACTAACATTCCCAGCTTCTTTTGATGATATTAATAACATTAATCTACCTATCATTTCAGCAGTTGATATAAATATTTTTATTCCTTCTCCAGTCTTAACCGTTCGAAGAATCTCTTTTTCTTCAAACACGTCGTAAACATTTTTATTTTTATATTCTCCAGATATAAATTTCTCCGCTACAATAAGCAATAAAAGCATCTCTGTAATATTTACAAAAGTTCTTCAAGATTTTCATGTATTTCAGGTTCTTCTATTTTAACTTTTATAATTCTACTATAAGCTTCATTTCATTGTTCATAAATACCTTTTAATTTTTTAATATCATCATATTCTTCTTGTGACAATTTATTAATATTATTAATATCTTCAATGCTGTATTTTCTTATAAAATATTTATATTCTGATTTTGTTACTTTATCTTGTGCTATTTTTTGTGCTAGTTTTTGTTTTTCTTCAATTTGTTTCCTTCTTTCGGTTTCCTCTGAACATTCGTATGCTACATATACCGATTTTTCTGATCCTTTATCCAATAATTTTGCTTCTGTATTTAAACCCCTACTATGATGACTTTGGTGTCGGTTATTTTTATATTATTAATAATTTCAATATAAAGACCAGCGATAATACCTTCTCGGTATAATTTAATGTTGTTATAACAATTTTTATTTTATGTTTATGTTGCTGAGATGTTTATCACTCTCTTCTTTTATTTCTTTTAATTTTATAACTTTTTCGTTGGCTTTAAAATCAACATCAATTAACATCATGTATTCTCACATTCTTAAAGTTATATTTCTTATTAAAATCTTCATACTCATTATCTCTTATTTTGCTATTTATATTTCTTAAATCATGTTCAAATCTTTTTTCTTTTTTATCTTTGTCTTTTTTACGTTCTTCTAACCTTCTTTCAATCGGTTCAACTATTGCTGTTCTGCTAATCTTTGTTCACGTAAAAGTGGATTATTTAATAACCGTCTTAGTTCAGCTTGTCTAGCAACAGAATCAGCAATATCCTTTACAAATTTTCTAGCTAACTTTACCTTTTCTTCATCAGATCTTCTAATAATTTTTGCAGCAGCTCTTTCTTGTTGTTCTTTATCTAGTCCAAGTAAACCTTCTTCCTGTAGTTTCTTAAGTTATTCTTCTGTTAGTGGTTTGGTTTCAGGCTGTTTACCAAGAAGTGTTTCGGTAACTGGTTTGAAAATCGTTGCTGTTGTTTCTGCTGAAGCAAAAAATACAGCAAGCACGACGTGGACAAGTAACTGCTGCAGAAACAACAGCAAGTGATTTACAATCAAAGTCTACAGAAAAAGGAACAGGTTCACATCCTGTTACTTACATAGAGGACGCTTTTGGTGCAATACAAGTTCATAAGGCTGACTATCACCAAATATTTATTAGTTGATATTCATGCCGATGACTTTAAACAAAGGAGGGCGACATCCATTCATTATTATTCAGTCTTTAGAAAAGATTAGTTTTCAATGTGTTTCTTATTTTACAAGTACTGACTCCTGAAACAAGACAAAATGAATAAAGACTAAACTATAAATAAGAAAACAGTCATCCTAAATATGGGTGGCAAGATCTATCCATAAAAATGAAGCCTTTTAAGAGACAGCGCTATTTACACAGTCCCAGATTTGAATAAAATGCAAAATACATGCACTACTTTAGTATTGATGTTCAGTTAGGTTTCTATAGGAGATATTGATCATTCTTAAACAAAGTGAGATTGGGAAAGAACCTGTCCCACCAAGTAACACCTTGGTAAAGAGTTGTTATTTGGAAATTGCGACATTTAAAAAGCACATTTCAAGGTATCACGTGATAGGAGTGAGATTCAATGACAAAAAGGTAAATATAATCAGATGCGTGTCAGGCCCGGTGTCAGGCCCGGTGATAAGAACACAGGAAAGATATTTCAAAGATTGGATGTGGACTTGTCATCAGAAAACATTATTGATTCATTTCCCATGGAATCTTAATATTAGTACCATAAGAAATACAAATACAAAATGTATTAGAACATAAGAAATACAAAATGATTTCTGCATTACATTGTCCTACAATTAACACATTATATTATTTTTTTGAGAGGAACTTTGAAAAACCGTGTTCCGAGACACTATCTTGGGTTGCATTCTTTATTTGTCAGTCCGTTCTTTCTCTTATTTAACAAACAGGCAACGAACAGACAGACGAACAAACGCATTTGCTAACGGTAAAGTAAAGAATTTTAGCACCATCTAGTTTACTAATTTCAACATTTCAACGCAGAAAGACAGAGACGGAGATAAAGGAGGAAAGCGAAAACACAGATGATCAGTGAGAGACAAGGAATTTTTACTCTAAATTGAGGCAAGATAAAATTTTCATAACGATGTCCCATTCAATTTAGGTTAGTAGCAGTCCTCTGAACATTGCTTCATTTTGTTTTCTTTTCACCACAATCATAGTGTAATTTCTGTGATCATTATTAAATGAAAAGGCATAAGATGGGACGCACATCAAATTTCATCGTGAAAAGGCATTGCTTTGAAACTATTTTGCTTGCGCAGAAATCTATTAAATAAGCACACAAAACGAGTGTGTATTTATGTGTGTGATTTGAATTTTTATGTAGCTTTAACAACTTTTCAGTCATATCGCTACGATGTCTGCATTGTGGCAGTTTATAGTGCTGTCTAGCATTTGGAGCATAATGCGTAGATATGCAGCTTGATGTCGTCACATTGTCCAGACAACGGGTCGACTAGTCATAACACTAACCCCTTAATGCTGAGCTCCAAGCAAGACATCTGTTAGTACCATTTATGTAAGTTTTTGGTATGACTTTGTTAGCACCATTTATGTAAGTCTTTGCTAAGTCTTTAGTATGACTCGGTCGGGGATCGAACAAACGACCTTCCGCATCCGAGGCGGACGCTCTAACCCTAGGCCACTGGAGCGTTCCACACAAAACGAGAGATATCTTTAATGCAAGCACTGTCAGATATGGACATCATCCTCACAATTATTTTAAGTAAATGAAAAAGCATAAGATAGGACGCACATCAAGTTTTATCTTGAAAAGGAATTGCTTTAAAAATATTGTTTCTTGCGCAGTCGTCTATTAAATGAACACACAAAACAAAAGATAGAAAATATCTTCATATCTCTCAGAAAGTAATGAGAGATTTTCATCGTGCAGTAAGACTGGTGTTTAATTAATATAAAGTTTGTAACTTAACCTCCACCATTTTGTTAGATATCGTCTTTACAACATGACGCTAGTTACTGTGTTTTTCCTCCGCGTATTGATCACAACTGCAAGTGCACTTTAAAATGAAGTCTACAGTGCATGAAAAGTTTTTCATTTTATTACTCAATATACTATCTCAGAAATACCGAAAATGTAAATGAACTTTCTTAAACAGTTAAACTGAAATTATTGAAAATTTAACGTATATGCTGTCAATTCGCCACGGCAAGGGTAAAATGTATGAGGTTTATATGCATTAGATAATATCTGATTCATTTGTTCAATAATGTGGCCAGTTTGTATTCTATTCACTTTAGGTGTATGCAGTACTGTGCTGAGAACGGTATCCGAATGAAATAATTTAAAAATTTATAAAAAGCTCTATTATAAATGCATCTGTGCCATTTGCATCAACTGAGATTTCGTTTGAAAACAGATACATTATCCTCGCCGAAAATTAAAAGCCTCAGTTTCCATTTGAACGCAGTATAGGATATATTCGAATAGCAAGTAAATAGTTTTTGTTTGACATGGAATTACTTGTCACGAGTGTCAGTGCGTTGTACATTCCACCATGGTAAAACAAACGGGGTTTGTGCCCTCATGGATAGGAACTATATCTTTTGGGCATGGAAAAGTAGTCTGGCTTTCAGATCTTCATAAATTTTGAACCTATAAGAACTCACCTGACTGTAACAATAAGGATGAAAAGTAATATATAAAATAAAAGATGCAAATTCAAGATATATATAGTCAAAATCTAAACCGAAATTGCATTTATAAAGTTTGTCTGCTTATGTAATGACAAATAAGTGTTTGAATTATATGTCCCAAATCATATAACATACAAAATCTTCTACATCTAAATGTCGTAGATGAGATTTTTGATCTATTAATCCTCTCATTTTCAATCTTAATCTTTAGCCAAGGGGCTCAATCTTTACAAGCCCTCTCTGTCTCCTATGAATTTGAAAGATGGCATTGTTTTAGGTGCAAGGCTGGTACGAGTAAACAAAACATGGATTTATGGGCATCGCAATCGATAGCCCAATCCAAAACAACCAAGCTTTTCTAACGTGACTTTATTGAAATACACATACAACTTCGAGCTTCAATTCACCTAAATTCACATTATAATAGAAGATATGATCAATAATAACAAATTTACCCGAATATATGGCTGCAATCTTTAACTGTATTGGCAGGTAATTTTACATGTCAGTTGTGCAATGTTGTACAAAATACACGATGTGATGACAAAAATCTCTATGTATAAGGGGACGACCAGGCGGAGTCCAATGCAACAAGCGGGGCCCAAGGTAGCAATCTATGAGCGCTGGACTCAAAGCACAAAAACTGCACTGCGAAGAAGCGCGGGCCAAAGGCGGTTACATCTAGCCATAGGGCTTTGCCTGGGAATATCTCAAAATGGATACTACGTGATGTGTGTGTGTGTATATATATATATATATATATATATATATATATATATATATATATATATATATATATATATATATATATATATATATATATATATATATGCCGCCTGAGATAATCTGTACATATTAAACACCTGGACCTCTTTTAGTTTTACAAGAGGAAGGTTTACTATGACAACTCAGTGTGTTATGTAATTGGTAAATTCTAAAATTGTGTAAGATTCATAAATGTTAAATATATCAGTCATCTCTTTCACCAAAATCGTAATGCTGATGAGTGACGATTAGATCTCTCACGCACAACATTTCTTATCTTCTTATAAACTCGTAGATTTAAATGCTTTTTACGGAATTCAGTTAATGGTTTCGTTAAGTCGCCTCCAAAATGCTTCGCGCGCCCTTTCATCTTCCGGATAATCAATGTAAGTTTGGCTTCGGATAACTTCCATAACATCAAGCGGATATTCATCATTCGGTATATTCTCGTACATTACCACAACGACAAATTTCCTATTTTTCTCCTCCTCTTCTATTCTGGCCATATTTAACTCGTATTTGCACCAATAACTCCCCAAGAAGCTTTTAGACAATACAAAAATTGGCCATCGACTTGATGAGATAGCCCTAATAATGTTTTCAGGTATCGAAACACCTGGTATGAAATCACGATCAGCTAGACACAACCTCAAACCAAACTTTCCCTCTATTTCAGGCAGGATTCCATTATATACGAACGGTTTATCTTCGTCGGCATACGATATAAAGCTGTCATACTGGTAAAGCTGGCTGTAATCCTCATCCTGATGTCGAATGCCTAAAGAGTTCCTTGCGCTGTAATAAAGATACCGTAGATGCCACTTGTAACGGTAAATAATTCCGCCAAATATGACGATAAGGGCTAGCAAAATGAATGCAACACATCCGGCTATCAATCCAATTTTTGAAGTGCATTCCTTTTTCAGGGTTCTCAGTTTCTGTTTTGTTCCTAATTTTGTTTCTTGAGCACATACATTATCGTACGTAAGCTGAACTTCAGCTTCCATCATCCACCTCAGGAATTAGATATTATCACATGTACAAGAAATCGGATTTCCCTTTAAGTTGATCTCGACGTTCTGGTTCTTTACGATTCTGTCGATGTGATCTGTAAAACTATTTGGTAGAGTCTCAATTTTGTTGAAGGACATGTCGATTTTTTTTAACTTTGTCATTTTTTGAACGTCTATCTCCCATTTGCTGAGCATGTTGTAAGAAATAATAAGTTCTTCTAACGATACCATGTGTTGAAATATCATCGGTGGAAGATTGGAAATTTTATTAGAAGAAAGATCCAGATATCGCAAGGATTTTAATGAGCTGAAGATAATACCATTAGAGTCCTGACCAAGCACGAATCCAAGGAAGTTTCCGTCAACGTTTATGCTTTTCAAAAAATGAAAAGCTGAGAAAAAGACGTCACTTACATTTTAACAATAGTTATGTGCCAATGATAAATTCTCTAGACGATTGACACCTGTCACTGGACCAATCCAGGTGTGCATACTGTTATAAGAAAGGTTGAGGCTTTTAAGGCTATTACTGGGTGACACGTGTATTTCAGGAATTGTGAAATACCACCCCATCTGTTTGCATATAATGTTTTCAAGTTTAGGAGGAAAAGCAACTTCGGGGACAAATTGCATGAAAAGACGATCAAGTATTGTAAACGCGGTACCACGTAGTAGTAGAAGAAAGTAAGAATCCGAGCTCAACAACCCCTCTCCCCACCCCTCCAGAGCTCCAAACAAATACAAAATACCTAGGTAACGTAATAGAACACCTGTTGCAATCAATAATTGCGCTAAGAATCCGAGCTCAACAGCCCCTCTCCCCACCCCTCTAGACCTCCAAACAAATACAATAGAACACCTGTTGCAAAATATCTAGGTAACAGGTAAAATTTAATTACGTGACCTTCCAGAATAAGCAAAATGATATGTCAGACTCAATTTTCCAAATCATTACGATTTAGCAGAGCGTGGCGATTGTGGACTAAATTAAGCATTAGAATTCCAGTAAGGTAAGTGGTATTATACCTCATTACCAACTGTTAATGTCTCAACTGTAGATATCAAAAATATTTCATTATCATGGTAATAGAGGCTAAACTTTACTTTACCGCTCACATAACGACGGGACTCAAACAAAGCTTTTATTTGTGATTTGTTAAGAGGGTATTTTTTGTCGATAAAATACACCTTTGACCGATCAAGATCAATTGTAAGTTTGGTGTATTTTTGCTGACTAATCGGACAGTGAAAGTTGTTAAATTCCGCAAGCAACTTTTGATACAATTGTTCGAGATAATTAAAATACTCGCTGTCATCAGATCTGATGAGCGAAAGTTTTAACTTGTCACGGGTACCACTAAAGCATATGCCTGATGTTTCATTATTAATTTCAACTGTCAATGGTTTGCCGTCCATCATTAGATATTTGATTTTGCTACTGTAGCTATTTGTTACTGTCAAATTTTCAAACATTATTTTTAAAGTTTAGATAAAATTTTAGTTTGCAAAGAAAATGTCAAGTATATCTCTATTATCATGACAATACCCAAGTGCAAATGTATCTACCCCATTTTCGCAATAACGTTTATCATCAAAATTGCTCAAACCGCGTTTGATAAGGACATCTGTTTCGAGCTTATGATGATTTGTCCGAATTGACATAGCTCTTATAAAACTAACACCGCCATCAAGCGCATACTTGTAGTCATCAAATTTTATAAACTTTTTAACAAAATCACGAGGCAGACCTTTTGCTTTTTTTGTTTTTTTATTATTGTCTAACAATACGGCATACATTTTACTACGTAATCCGATAAAGTATTTGATAGCGCTCTAGTTCATTTCATCTTTGAACTTACCAATAACCTTTTTATTTGTGTCGTCATGAAATTTACTGTCACGTGGGTAATCAGAAAGATCAAACAGATATCTATTATCATACATATCCTGATAGACGTCCTCACATTCGATTTCATATACGAGCGAATCAGTATCAGTAAATAATAATCTACTAGCCGGCCATTGATTTTTAACAAAATTATAATGAAAATCATACATCAGCCACTTTGATAAATCTAACACTGAAGCTCCAACGTAGATCGGCTTGTTTAGTTTTAGATTTGTTTTTCTTCTTTGTATCGCAACAAGATTCTCATTAAAAATTTTCATGCTCACAAAATCATCGTCTGACACAAGTTTGTTTCTGCGATTAACAT